GGAGGCTAAGGAGGGGGCGAGGCGGAGTGACTGGGGGATGGAATTCCAGAGGTTGGGGGCAGAGTGGCTGAAGGCTCTCCCGTCAATGGTGGGGTGGGTGGGTTGGGGGACGCAGGCCGGAACCGGCTGAGCGGAGGGAACGAGCGGGTTGGTAGCGGGTTAGGAGGTCACAGAGGTAGGGTAGGGCGAGGCCATGGAGGGCTTTGTTGGTGAGGACCAGGATCTTGAACTGGATCCTCTGAAGGATAGGGAGTCAGTGGAATCGGGCGAGAGTGGGGGAGATGGGGTCACGGAGTTTGGTGCGGGAGAGGACATGAGCTGCAGAGTTCTGGATTATCTGCAGTCTGTGGAGGGAGGAGTTGGGAAGGCCGACAAGCAGGGCATTTGCATAGTCGAGGCTGGAGGAAGACATAAACAAGTGTTTCAGCGGCCTGAGGGGTGAGGTAGTGGCGGAGTCGGGCGATGTTACGGAGATGAAGGAGGCAGAGCGGGTCATGGCTTGAATGTGGGGGAGAAATGACAGTTGAAGGCTCATCGGCAAGACTTGGAGGGGCAGACCAAGTAGTCACTGAGGGCAAGGATTCTTTCCACTCAGCTCTTATTAATCCTGTAAGCCAAAGCCCTAACAGATAGGGTGATCCTAGCTGGACAGGCAGTAGATCAGGCATTGTTTTGTGTTACAGGAAAGAAAGAATGCACATTTATTTTAAAAAAAGACGAGCATGATTAAATCGTCATTCGCCTCAAGGATGTTTTAAGATAAGATTGTGCTGAATCAAATATTCTCCGAACATAGACACCTACAGTATTCTGCTGATCTAGTGTACTTTGGATTTCTTCTCTCCAGGAGACAATAACTAGCTGGGCATCTCCAATACCTCATTCAAGTTGCCAATCTTCATGTGTTCAGTCTGGACAATGAACACTGGCCGCTTCTGACAGGAGTGGGCCAATGACAATTAAGTCAGATCCCATCTGTATATATACACTGTATAGGGTCAAGTGAAGAAACCTTTCTTTTTCCCTCTAACCTGGTTCCCCCACTGCTGCCTAACCTGAATTCATTTTTTTCAGAACAAACTAGAGATCGAACCTGGCCCTTTCAATTTTGATCTACGAAAGTGTTAAACAAAAGTGCAATCCGAATAACATTTAAAAATTCAATATTTAATTCAGACCACTGAAGGCAAAAAAAAATTTTCACTGGAGGCAATAAATAATCATATCGGTAGTCTAAATCTCCTGTTTGATCTATTTGATCAAGAGAAGAAGCTCAAATTTATTGATGAAAGACTACAAAAATCCATACACACATAGAAAGAAGTTAGATGATACGCAAACAGAACGCATAGAATATCTGCAAACAATACTCAACATGTAACAACAAAGATCATCATTGCTGCTTAACACAGAAAGAGTAACAGAAAGAAATCAAATATCTGAGTAATTATTAAGGCATAAATTAAAACATAATCTATTTGATACACGTGATTTTCTAAACTGCGCCAGCGTAGCTATATATCTATCATCAGAAGTATGTCATTTGGTTATAGCTTTGAAGTACTGTTTCAACTTTCAAGATGTGAGGCTTAGTGGTGGGGGGGGAAGGGGAATGGAGAATAATATTCAGACGGTTTGATCTTGTTTTGTGCCTGTAGCCTTAAAAACACAAGTTGTTATCGTTATAGCAATGCTCAATAAGAATAATAATTATGATCTTTCCATTTGATAAGTATTTTAGCATGTCACTGAAATGCCAATGTGCTTCACAGGATTTACTGCAAATTGTAGTGACTGTACTTGCAGGCAAACACAGCAGCCAATGTGTGAGGGATCCTGAGAGAAGCTCCCTTCTCTTTACGAATAACACACATGTTCAATTGTCAAATAACAGACAATGTCTCATGTGAAGGAAGGAATATTGAACACACAGCAATACACTGGAGTGTCAGCTTAGATTATGAGTTAAAAAGTCCCAACGTTGTTCTTGAACAATGTTAATCTGGCTGTTATTGGCACTATCTGTCGGAGTTGCCCTCAGGATCCCTCACACATCGGCTCCTGTGTTTGCATCTGGTTTCATCTGCCTGTTCAGGTGGGCGTTAAAGATCCTATGGCAATATTTGTGCAGAGAAGGGAATTTCTTGCAGTGTGCTGGCCAACAGTTCTCCAAATAAAATTGGTCATTCACTTCATACAAAATTGCATTTGTATAGCGCCTTTCACATCGGGAGGAATTGTTTATAGGATATTGCTGTGTGCTAATTGGCTGCTATGTTTGCCCACCAAACACAGTCACTCCACTTTGCAGTATATCCTGTGAAGTGCTTTGGGACGTCTTCCCAACGTGAAAGGCGCTATACCAAATATAAGGTTTATTATTAACAGCTTGACAGACACACAGAGGCAAGGGCTACCGAATGAGTGGGGCTGACATATGTTGTCAATACAATTTTGTGTCCTTGAAGCACAAAAATATTCCTGCCAGAAAATGATTAGTTGTGATATTAGATTTTTTACTGTAGCTTATTGACAAACACATTTGAAGTTGGGCCATTTGCTAATTCAATTTTAAATATGCATTTAAAAATATATATTTCATAAACAATGAATAATCACGGTTTTCAATCGTTCACTCTTGAATAACCCAACAAATTATTTTATGACATGATTTATACCTTTTTTTTCTTAAAAGAACAAGATTGTTAACTAGTGTAGGCTCTCTGTGACGTGGACAGAGGATTCTGGTAAATATCACTTAATCTTTGTGTGGTTCCTTCCCAATGCAGGAATGTTGTGTAAATTAAATTGTCTTGGGCTGAACAACTTGGCTTGAGCAATATAGATTATAAATTCATACAGAGGGTGGAAGAAAGACACCTTTTTGTTCCCACACTTTGGGCTATTTAGAGAAACAGCCAACAGGATCGGCGCTGCTTACGCAATCATTCTTAAAAGCCCATTCATATTAAAATATCATACGTTGCTGGTGCAGATTAGGTGCCGTGTTTGTTCACATAACATCCACTTTGTTTTGTAACAAATTTTACTTTGTGAAGCGCTTCAATTTACTAAAGTTTTATGTGAAACAGGAACTATTTCAACCCGCGTTTGTAATACTGTATTATAAGATTATTGCAATTGGGACCCAACAGGGAAAGTAGCCCGTGACCATTGGTGGTGGGGGGATGAGATGGGGGGGGGGGGGGGGAGGAAGAGAGAGAGAAAGAGGGAAGGAGAAAGAGCGAGAGAGAGAGGGAAAGAGGGAAGAGAGAGAGGAAGAGAGATAAAGAGAGGCAGGGAGGGAAGGATAAAGAGAGAGGGGGGAGGAGGAATAGAGAGAAAGACGGCAAGGGAGGGAAGGAGGAAGAGAGTGAGAGGGGGTTAAGGAGGAAGAGAGAGAGCGAGAGGAAAGGAAGAAGAGAGGGGGAAGAGAGAGAGTGAGGGAAGGAGCAAGAGAGAGGGAAGGAGGAAAAGAGAGAGGGAAGGGGAAGGAAGAAAGAGAGAGAAGGAGGGAAGGAAGAAGAGAGGGAGGGAAGGAGGAAGAGAAAGAGGGGGAAGGAGGAAAAGAGAGAGAGAGGGAAGGAAGGAAGAAGAGAGAGAAGGAGGGAAGGAAGAAGAGAGAGAGGGGAAGGAGGAAAAGAGAGAGAGGGAAGGAAGGAAGAAGAGAGAGGAGGGAAGGAAGAAGAGAGAGGGGGAAGAGAGAGAGTGAGGGAAGGAGGAAAAGAGAGAGAGGGGGAAGGAAGGAAGAGAGAGAGAGAGGGAAGGAAGGAAGAGAGAGTGAGGGAAGGAGGAAAAGAGAGAGAGGGGGAAGGAGGAAAAGAGAGAGAGAGAGAGGGAGGGAAGGAAGAAGAGAGAGAGAGAGGAGGAGAGTGATATCTGACAGCAAAAAGGCATTCGTTCTGGTTTCAAAACGTTACACTATGAAGTCCGGCCTCAGCGAAACGAAGGAATAGCGAAGCTGACAACAGCCTGAACGCCATCCGCTTCCTCCTCACATGGAAACACTCACAAACTGTGCTGTCGGGGGGGGGGGGGGGGGGGGTCGGAGACGAGACTGGACGGGGAAGCCTCGGGCCTCGCGCTGCCCCGGGCCACAGTCACCGTTATTTTTAAAATAGATCTTAAAAATGTTTGCTCGTTTGGGGGTTTTTTTTTTGAAGGGAAACAAGAGAATCGGCACATTTGTATTTGTCTTAACTCGAGGCAGGAAAAGGCGGATGAGAGGTGTGCGGTGTATATGTATGTGCGCGGATATCTAAACGATACGCTGTTTAGAAATAAACCCCGAGGCTGATGTGCCGGCGTGAAGCGGGCCCCGCGGTCACCGTCGCCATGGCAACCGGTTTAAAGAGCCGCAGGAGGCCGGGCGCGCGGCTCCCACAGAGAGGAGGCGGGGCAGCCCGGGGAGGGGAGCCCGGGGAGGGGAGAGGAGGGGAGCCCGGGGAGGGGAGAGGAGCTCGGGGAGGGGAGCCCAGGGAGGGGAGCTCGGGGAGGGGAGCTCGGGGAGGGGAGCCCAGGGAGGGGAGCCCGGGGCAGGGAGGGGAGCTCGGGGAGGGGAGCCCAGGGAGGGGAGCCCGGGGAGGGGAGCCCAGGGAGGGGAGCCCGGGGAGGGGAGCCCGGGGAGGGGAGCCGGGGAGGGGAGGGGAGCCGGGAGGGGAGCCCGGGGCAGGGAGGGGAGCCCAGGGGAGGGGAGCCCGGGGAGGGGAGCCCGGGGAGGGGAGGGGAGCTCGGGGAGGGGAGCCCGGGGCAGGGAGGGGAGCCCAGGGAGGGGAGGGGAGCCCAGGGAGGGGAGCCCGGGGCAGGGGGGGAGCCCGGGGAGGGGAGCCCGGGGAGGGGAGCCCGGGGCAGGGAGCCCGGGGCAGGGGGGGGAGCCCGGGGAGGGGAGCCCGGGGCGAAAGACTAACCTAACCCGGGCCGGGTAGGGCCGTGCCGTGCTGTGCTGTGCCGCCCTCCCGAGCTGAGCCGTGCTCCCCACCATCACACTTCACATCACTCACCATCAGCCGCTCGAAAGGGTTGTCCTCGTCGCTCTGAGGCGAGAGCCTGGACCAGACCACGATCAGACCCAGGAAAGTTCCGATGATCAGCAAACTCCGTAAAATGAAACCCAGTTTCAACCTCATTGCTGTGGATCGCGTCTTTCTCCCTCCTCCTCCTCCTCCTCTGCCGCTCTCTGTCTGGACGTCTTTATTTTAACTGTGCTCTCGGCACACTGTCTTTACCATTCAATCGCAGACACACACACACACACACTCACACACTCACAGCTACGGTATCCCGGGGCTTTGGGGTCGGGAAAGAGAAACCTTTCGATTAACAAAACGTCAAGCGGCAAAGCTCAGGGTTCCCCGCGCGACAGACATCGGGACCGGGAGAGCCGTTTAAAATCAAGTGGGGAAAACTACCAAACCCCCTCCCTCCCTCCCTCTCTCTCTCTCTCTCTCCCTCCCTCCTTCCCTCCCTCCTTCCTTCCTCTCTTTCTCTTTCGATTTTAATGATCTTCCCCGAAGCAGCTTTCTGTGACTGCTGCCCCCTCTCGCTCTGTACAAGTAAAGAAGCCCTTTCCTTCCCTCTTCCCCTCCCTCCCTCCCTCACACACTCACACACACACACACCTTGTTGCCCAGGATGTGTGTGACCCCCCCCCCGGCAGCCCGTTGGCTGTTTCATTACGTGGCTTCTACGGTTGATTGTCAACGTGTCTACTTTCTCCATTGCTGAGGAGGGAGTGAGGGAGGGAGGGAGAGAGGGGGTTGGTCACCCTCTCACCACGTCTGAACATGGCTCGCCCTCGTCCCCGCGAAACGTGTGCCCCTGTTATACGTCTGCGTTTCAACGAGAGCGCCTTTCGCCTTCTCTTCTCTCTCGGGAGGACCCGAGAAAAAAAGAAAGCGTCGGGGGGACAAGCAACCGGTCTCGGTGCGGCTCTCACAGGGGCTTCACTCCCCACTTGGGCGGTGTTTTTTTTATGGGGGGGGGGGGGAGTTGTTCACGTTTGATGGTTTCGAAAATAAAACACGTCGAACGATTTCTTACGAGAAACTCACAGCAGCGAAGCATCAAAAATTAAAGAGTTTGACGAGTTCTCTGTGCCACTAAATGTTTTTACTTGAGTGGAGTGATTCTAGACCCGGGGGGTGGGGGTGGGGGGGGGACGTCTTTCCTACAGTCTGAAAATATTAGATTTTTTTTTACATTATTCTATTATTTTTTAATGTAGAATTGTGACAACTGAAATACTGCCATCTGTCAAATATTTTGTAAAAATAATAGGCCCTGCATTGGAAACTTCTTAAAATCAGTCTTCATTTGGAAGCTATGATTCTTTTTTTTTAAAAAAAAGTGCAAAAACCTTCCTTCTTAGCATCTTCCCAAATATAATTGATGAAGGCACGAAGTCGGATGTTTGCATTGCCTCGCGTACACTTTTATGTGGGTTTTTCTTTTAACAGTACAAAAAGGACATTCGGTCCATCGTGGATAAACCAGGTGAGTCCCTTCAGCCCTTGTACCGATTATTTTTGGGGGGCAGACAGGTGTCATACACATCCAGAAACCCAACGCCATGGTTAATTGTACCCGAACCAAATTGAGAATTCCATGCATCCCACCTATAGATGGAAATTATAGATGGAAATTCCAGAGATGTTTATTGGAACGGAATGCACACTCTCCCTGTAGGGACGCATCCCGTTTACCTAATTCCGGAAAGTATCAGGTACAGGTTGGCAAGAGCCAAGCCTTGGGGACCCCAGATTGTGTGTTGTGGTACTGCTGGCATGTAACCGGCTAAAACTACATAGCTTGCTATTGAGAGAACTTTCTGGGAAGGTTTCCCACTGCTTGTCGAGCTAGGACCACCCTACCCGTTAGAACTTTGACTTACTGGGTTAATGGGAGATCTTAATCAGATCTTAGTACACATCCAGGATTAAGTCATGTACTCTTGATGGTTCCCAGGTATTGCATTAGGGCCACATGAGGCACTGGACAGTCATTTGGGAATTAATGAAAGTAACATAAAGAGGTTTTCCTTAAGCCTCCTGAATTTCGAGGCAGCCCAGCTCATCGGTAAGACCTGTAAGGCAAAGCAGTCAGTGGGAGCAGGGCTTCTTCACACTCAGCTACTGTTCATCTTGCAAGTCAAAGCCCTAACATAGTCCCAGCTGGATAAGTAGTGGGAAGCTTGCCAGACAATTGTAATTTATGCGGTATTAGCTGGTTAACTCCAGCAATACCCCCAATGAACACTCTGAGGTCCTCAAACTTTGGGTTTTACCAACTTGCAGCTAATCCTCTCCAATTTAATAATCCTTGCATTTTTTTTGCATTTGAAATAAGGCCTTATCACGTCTTCGAGATGTCTCAAAGAGCTTCACAAAATATACTGTAAAGTGAAATTTACTGTATATTTTGTGGACAAAAGCTTAAGTAACCAGAGTGCAGAGTGTTCATTCCATTCAAGACACAGGGAAATTTCCATGTGGTGATGGGTTCCTGCATGTCACCTAGCTGACAAATCAAAAAACAAATCAAAAGAGAAAATTTTGAACAAAAAAGTGGAAAAACAAGTTCCTTGAGTTTTTTTTAATAAATAATAAGTATAAGTAATATTCTCTTAACATTTTTATATTCTGTTCTGGTCAGGAACATTGAACTTTAATCCTAACGAGTTTCCATCCTCTTGTAATATTAGCTTTGGATAGATTATTTGGGGAATTGTGTTTGTCCCTCAGGTTCATCAGTAATTTAATGGATGTCAACAAAACATCTCCTTTTTATTGATAACACTCTCCATAGAGTAGTAAATTTCATATCTGAAAAAACAAATAAGAACTGTATTGTGAATAGTGAGTGGACAAATTAAAGTGTGATCTTCAACATTCATGAGATCAAATCAATTACAGTTCTATTAAGAAATCTTGACTGAAGAATCTTTACCCACTCATTTCAGCAAGCACCTCTATTCAACCTTAAATGTATAATTCTTCATCACATCACAAGTGGCAAAAAGATAGAAAAGATGGCAGAGAAGGAATTCTCAAGATATATTTACCTTATTTACTTCAGAAAAAAACCTTATTGATAGAATTCTGAAGTCTGTTTGGCAAGCTGCAGATAAAACCTCTCTCTTCCTTTTAGATCTCAGTACTATCTGAAGCCATGCAGATGAGTGAACCTATGAGAGTATCTGCCTATATCCCAGAGTCCACCCTCTACAATATCGAAGAAACGTGATCAGACTGTCAGTCCATTGCAAGATTATAACTGGAGCAGTGTTATAAGGATTGCTAAAATTTAAAGCAGTCCTCCTTATTTATGGCATGAACACATGTTGGTGAAACCTTCAGTATCAACTGTATATCAAACCAAATATTCTTCATGAAATTTCAGAAACAAAGTTTCAAATACCATATCTCTTGCCTTACTCTTCTCCAACTATTAGTTATTGAATGTATTTTTGTCCCTTACATCCAGATATTTAATTTTGGAGAGCTCAAAAATAGAGAGCATAAATATAAGGTGGCTAGTTTAGGAGGTTTTTCCTGTAAGGCTCTTTGGGACCCTTCTCTCGACTTGAAAGGCATGTAATAATATTTTTATTATAAAGTACTTCTTCACATAGAGGGTGATGAGAATGTGGAACCCACTGCCGGAAGCTGTGGTTGAAGTAAATAGCATCAATGTATTCAAGAGTAAATGTAATGTGATGCTTCTTTGGAGTAAAACACCAGCTCGGATGAGTTAAACTGTAGGGCCTGTTTCTGTAGGATATCACTCTATACAACTCTATGTAAGTATGTAACCATCTACGTCTGTATCAGAACTTGTAGCAAGTTTCCAGGTCTTTTGAACTCCCAGAGACCTGTGGTAAATTACTTGAAACTTTTTTTGCTGCTTAATATACAAATGTAGATTACATTTTTCCAACCATGTTCTCCCTTGCCACCTTCAAGACCCATCTCAAGACCCTCTTCGACCGTGCTTTCGATCTCCCTGCTTCCACCCCTGCCCTCCACCCTCCCCCACCCTGACCCCCAGCTCGGGTCCATAACTGTCCAGCGCCTTGGGACATCCTCCTGACGTGAAAGAGGCTTTACGAATGTCATTTTGTTGTTGTACATTAAAGCTCATTCTCCAACTATTGCTGTGCTGAAATTGACTCCTGCATTTCCTTCCAGATAGTCGCTACACTGTACATTTAAATTACAGTAAATTAAGACTGATTTTAAGATGTTTCCAAAATTCTGTGTGACTTTACATTTTAAGACCATGTCATTAGGCTAAGCATTTTATATATAAATATATATAATGTATTGTAACGTTTATAGTATTTGATATGTTCTTGTAGCTCAGTGGTTAGAGCACTCGCCTTGCAAGCGAGAGACCTGAGTTCAATTCCAGGCAGGGCGAAACCTTGGGCAAGTTTCCTTACTCCACACAGAGCCTAATAATAATCCCTCCAAAACAATAATAAATTTAATAATAAATAATAAATTTCAATCCACGACTGTTTGTGGAACACTGCTGTGCGCAATTGGCTGCCGCGTTCGCCCACAAATATAGTCAATTCGCTTTACAGTCTATTCTGTGAAGCGCTTTGGGACGTCCTCCCGACATGAAAAGCGCTATATCAAATGCAAGGATTATTATTATTATTAATATTGATGAATCTGAGGGAAGTTGACTATTGGGGAACAATGTATTTTCTTCTTTAACTTTTTTCATAAAAGTGGCCCTGAGTCAATTAAAATTTACAAGCATTTGTGTTGTTGGAAAGAGGTTGCACCATCGTTGACCTCAATACCTATATCCACACAAATGCGTTTGAACACGTATCACTAAATAATGATCAGGAATCATTGACAAGTATTGTTATTTCACTCTCAGAATATAGAAGAAGCCTTAGTAATGTATCATTCATGCAGTGAAAAATGTTTCTGTCATATATTTTGAAAACTGTTATAGGAATCAATTAATTTACAGCCTCAGTGAGCTTTACAGCATCCAAATACATTCTACATAGTTACATAACATAGAGTGTTTTATATAATGACATATAAATTTGTTGAACTGAATCACATTCAACACAAGTTATGTTTCCTACTCAACATAAACAGATTTACAATTTCTGATATCATCAAGGCCCTCTTGGAATACAGCCTTGTGATGTACTGTTATTTTAAATATAATGGCAAGCAATAGTGTTTTGTGACATATTGTGCTATATTATAAATCAATAATATTGATTGGATTGACTTACAAATTTAAATCAAGCATACACAAGCAAGCAACTGATGAAACAGCTATTATTTAAAATAAAACATACTGCATTTATGCTCTTCTATCAGGATAGACTGGATAAGTTAGGCCTTTTTTCGCTTGAGAAGTGATGTTTTAAGGGGAGACGTAACAAAAGTGTTTAAAATTATAAAATTTTA